TAGATAGATAGATAGATAGATAGATAGATAGATAGATAGATAGATAGGAAGATAGATATAAATGATAGACATAGGTAGAATAGATATTAGATAGACATAGACAGATAGACAGATAGATGATGGATGGGTGGATGGATGGATGGATAGATAGATAGATAGGAAGATATAGATTTAGATAGATAGATAGATAGATAGATAGATAGATAGATAGATAGATAGATAGATAGATAGATAGATAGATAGATAGAGTTTGCACTCCCAAACAAAAAAATCTCCACACCACAAGCCAGCCAAACACCTGGGCACAAACAGACTCCCCCTGATACCTCCAGCTCAAACACACCCCAACCAGGCACCGAGATGAAACCAGCTTCCTAATAAATGATAGCCGTCTGTTTACTTGGAGCCAAGCCGCACTAAAAGCCTCCAATACAGGAAACACAATGTTGCCAGCCAATCAAGACAAAAAAAGCCACAAAACAGACAGAAGATATTAGAAACTCCATCAAGCAGAACACAGCAAACTCCAAGACCAATAAACACAGACCAAGACTCCCAACCAATCAGGATGAAGAAAAAACCATTCTGGCACAGCAGTAGGCTAGCCCCAAATTTAAAACTGAAACGGCTGTGAAAGTCTGACTCACAGACGAACACAATACAGAAGCCTGATGATGGCAGATGAGATTCTGATGAAACGTTGCTACAACTTTAAAAGCACAACTATAATGACGTGGGAAAATACCCAACCAAAGCTGAATACCATTTAGATAGATAGATAGATAGATAGATAGATAGATAGATAGATAGATAGATAGATAGATAGATAGATAGATATGATAGACATAGAGGATAGATAAATGGATGGATGGGTGGATGGATGGATAGGAAGATAGATATAGATATAGATGATAGACATAGATGATAGATAGATGATAGATAATAGATGATAGATAGATGGAGGTAGGTAGGTAGGTAGATAAATAGATGTAGATTGATATAAACAGATAGATGTAGATGAGAGAGAGAGATGATAGATACAATAGAGGTAGAGATAGAAATAGACAGACAGATGATAGAGTGACAAGCTGTCAATGCCTCAAACTTTAGAGGTGCACCCTACAAAACTGGAGCATATTCCCATTTATCAATGTGTAAAACAACTGGTAATGACGTCACATTACCCAACTAGGGAACATCATCAGGGCTAGATGAGAGTGGGGTTTGCTTTCTCTTTACGTAGAACTGGCTTGCCCTGTCAGTGTCGATGGGACCTTGTTCGGACTATTTACTCTTAGTTTGTTAAACAGTTCCACCACCCAGACAGCTCTCACCAACACCGACAAGGGAAGCCGCTGGAATATTAAATGAGAATGAACCCTACCTCCTTCTAGCCCTGATGATGTTCCCCAGTTGGGTCGCTAAATGTCTCCCAGAAAACCACCAAGCTCAGAGAGCACCAAGGACCCCACAGTCGTCATCGTCCTCCTCCTCCTCCTCCTCCTCCCCCACTCCCTTTTAGCACTGATGATGTTACCTAGCTGGGTAATAAAATGTCTGCAAGAAAAGTTCAGAGAGCCTCAAGGACCCCACAATCTCCATCTTCTCCTTCTCCTCCTCCTCTCTGCAAACCCCACTCCCGTCTATCACTGATGATGTTCTCTAGTTGGGTCATGAAACGTGAGACTGCCCCAGTCCTCAATGCTCTTAATAGTACAGGAGTTGGTAGAAGGAAGGAAAATCAAGGTGGGACAGAGATTGAAATCTCCCCTTCCATCCTCTCTCCCTACTTGTCCCACTGGATGTGCCTCCAGCTAATAACAAACACAGCCCACCATAAGTTGTGGGCCACAACCGTCATATTACTGTAAAACAAAATAAAATATGGGTGGTGCAGGTTTTAAAAAAACCAGGGGCTGCCCCACATGTCAGCAAAGGAGCATAGCCCTGAGCAGAAGGCAGGCCTGGGGTGTACCAAATATATATAGAAAACCTGCTCAAATTACACCACCCCTCCCCGTATTTACTCCACATCAATCAGTTCTCAGGCATGAGTAAGTTTCAGAGGAGCAATGCTGGAATCTATGAGGGAGATTGTGTTTCCACAAATGGCCTTCTTGGCTGCCTACGTGGGCCACCAGGTCCCCAAGATAGCATGGTGCTTTCCAGTTGGGGGGGGGGTGTTTCCCTACTAACCCCAGGCCTGCTTCGGGCATAAAGATCTAAGTACTAGAGCCCACTGTAACTACATAGCCAAAAAGGCATTAAGAGTTGTTAACCTAACCCTGTGTAGCTTTTTCTCTGGGAATATTGCACTACTAACTAAAGCATACAAAACATTTGCTAGAGTCCAGGGGTCCCCAAACTTGGCAACTTTACGACTATGCTGGGTGAGGAATTCTGGGAGTTGAAGTCCACATAAAGTTGCCGAGGTTGGAGACTTCTGTGCTAGACCAATTCTCGAATAAAAGCTAACCAGTCTGGAACCCGCGCTGAATATTGGGCATTAATACAATCATTGTACCTGATGATTCTTGATTCTTGACAAATGTTATCTTTTCTTTTATGCACACCAAGAGCATTTGCACCGAAGATAAATTTCTTGTGTGTCCAATCACACTTGGCCAATAAAGAATTCTATTCTGTTCTGTTCTACTCTACTCTATTCTATATTCTATTCTATTCTTCATTCCAATATCTATTCTATTCTATTCTATTCTATTCTATTCTATTCTATTCTATTCTATTCTATTCTATTCTATTCTATTCTATTCTATTCTATTCCTATTTCTATTCTATTCTGACTATCGCTAGCTGTTGTATCTTATGATTCTTGATGAATGTATTTTATTTTTTATCTTATATACACCAAGAGCATTTGCACCAAAGACAAATTCTTTGTGTATCCAATCACACTTGGCCAATAAAGAGTTCTATCTATCTATCAATAGAGTCCAGAGATATTTCACAAGAAGAGTGCTCCACTTCTCTACTCGTAGCAGAATACCTTGTGCCTCCAGGCTTGAAATTTTAGGCTTAGACAACCTAGAACTACACCGCCTTCAGTCTGACCTAAGCGTAGTACATAAAATTATCCATTACAATGTCCTATCCGTCAATGACTACTTCAACCACAACAATACACAAGCACACAATAGACACAAACTCAGGGTAAACTGCACCAAACTCGATTGCAGGAAGTACAACTTCAGCCACAGAGTGGTCAATGCCGGGAAAACTCTACTTGACTTTGTGGTTTCTTCCCAAAATCCCAAACACTTTAACCTCAGACTGTCTACTGTTGACCTCCCCCCATTCCTAAGAGGTCTGTAAGGGGCGTGCATAAGCACACCCAACATGCCTACCGTCCCTGTCCTAATGTTCCCTTTTATTCTTATCCATTTCATGTATTCATAATCATGTTTATACTTATACCTGTTATCTAATCCACACTCGACCAGACAGAGACAGATAGACAGACAGATATAGCTGATAGATACATCTAGCCGAAATAGATATAGCTGATAGATGTAGAGCGAGAGAGAGATGATACATATAGCTGAAATAGATGAAGAGGGAGGGAGGGAGGGAGGGAGGGAGGGAGAGAGAGAGAGAGAGAGAGAGAGAGAGAGAGAGAGGATCCTTTTGGAGTTTTCACAGCGTTGGGCAGTGCTGAAGCGAAGAATTGAGGAGCCAGGGGGAAAAAACAGCAAGGCCCCGATTCGATCCCGGCCGTAATTCTTAGAATCTCAACTTTAAAATTCATCATGAATCTGTTTGATGGGCCTGTGGGCCGAGAGGCAGGCTGGCACAAGTGAGAGAGAGAACCTTTTCTTTCTGGGTAAGCTAGCTGTGAGGAGGTATGTTAAAGTGGAACAAGCAAGGAAGATATCCCTGGGTGACCACCTCTCTTTCCAAGAGTTATCTGTAGCTCTGTGGTGCTCTCTGATCTGGGTGGTTTTCTTGCAGATGTTACATGACCCAACTAGGTAACATCATCAGTGCTAGAAGAGTTTCCAGGGACAAGGAGGAGGAGGAGGAGGACTTGGTCCTCTCTGAGTTTTGGAGTTTCCTTGCAGATGTCTCGTAACCAAACTAGGTAACAGTATCAATGATAGAAGGGAGTAGGGTTTGCTTCTGGCACTGATGGGGTTATCTAGTTGGATAAGAAAACATCTGCAAGTAAACAACCAAGCTCCAAGGGCACCAAGGATCCCACATTCCTCCTCCTCCTCCTCCCCTGGCCACCAATCCCACTCTCTTCTAGCACTGATGGTGTTCCCTAGTTTGGTAATGAAACATCAGCAAGAAAACAACTAAGTTCAGAGAACACCAAGGGCCCCACATTCCTCCTCTCCGTACCCCTCCCAGCACTGATGATGTTGCTTAGTTGGGTCATGAGACATCTGCAAGAAAACCATCAAGCTCAGAGACCACCAAGGACCCCAGTCCTCCTCCTCCACCTTTCAGCTTTGATGATGTTATCTAGTTGGGTCACAAAACATCCACAAGAATGCCGCCAAGCTCAAAAAACACCACAGACCACCTCCTCCTCCTCTCTCCACACCCTTTCAGCACTGATGCTGTTACCGTGTTGGGTCAGCAGACGTCTGCAACAACACCCCCACAAGCTCAGAGACTCCCCCCTCAAGCCCCCCCCATCCCACCCACCTCCTCTCATTTCCCAAGCGGCTTCCTTACAACTTGCCCCCCACCCTTCTCAGCCTACTAGCCCACTACTCCTTCCCCGAAAGAGCCAGCCGGGCGGAGTAGCGCATGCAGAGGTTTAACGCGAGGTGGGGTCCCGCTCCTCGCCTTCAAAAGACCCCCCCCCTCCCCCGCGCCCGGCATGCTTACAAGCGCTCCAGCCCAATACGGCGTCTCCCGGAGCAGCAGCGAAGGGCTGGAGTTGGCCATCAGGAAGGCCAGGACGGTGATGGAGACGCCCAGGACCAGCTGCATCAGAGCCAGCAGCAGCGGGAACCGGCAACCGCAGCACGTGTGAACGTCCTCTTCCTTGCCCGCCTTGTGGGCCTCCTCGCCCAGGTCCGAAGGGCCTTGGGGGCTCTTCTTGCCAGAGGCGGCCATCCCCGCTTGCTGTTTGCCAGGCGGGTCGGGAGCTGCTTTCGTTTTGGAGCCCATTCCGACGACCTCTCACCCGGCCGAACGCGTGTCGCCGCCGCCGCTCTCCCTTCCCCTGCGGGCAGCCCTCCGCTCGGCTGCTCGGCTTTGAACAAATATGGGAAAACCCTTCGGAGGGGCCGTCGCCCTTTCCCAACCCTGCATATATAGACGGTGAGAAGAGGCGGGGGGGGGG